GTAATTTTGTAAATCCGTGAAAAAGAAAGGAAAGAAAAAAGAAAGACAGCAAAATTACAAGAGACAAAAAATCAAACCGGATGAGAATTAGAATTAATGAATAAGGTGAAATATCTTCATAAATATCACACAAAAATCACCCCAAACTTCCCTCTCTCCCTTTACCTCATCCTCCTCTCCCCCACTTGCTCCTACACTGTCCTTCCTTCCTTTGGCCTTAGTTCACCGACTTCCCTGACCTCTCCCCCCCTCCCCCTTTATCATTACCTCATCCCCTTCTTTCCTATCCGTCTCATCCTTTCCTCCCCACTCCCTTCATTCATTTCCTCTACCCCCCCTCTCATCCTTTCTCACCACCTTCTCCCGACCTCCAACGATCACTTCCGACCTCTTCCTATCCCCAACGACCTTCAACGACCCCTTCCGACCTCCTCCTATCTCCTCCGACCTCCAACGATCACTTCCAACCTCCTCCAATCTCCAACGACCTTCAACGACCCCTTCCGAGTTCCAACTGTCTCCTCCGACCTCCAACGACCCCTTCCGACCTCCTCTTAACTCCCCCGACCTCCAACGACCCCTTCCGACCTCCTCCTATCTCCTCCGACCTCCTCCTATCTCCCCCGACCTCCAACGACCCCTTCCGACCTCCTCCTATCTCCTCCGACCTCCAACGACCCCTTCCGATCTCCTCTCATCTCCTCCGACCTCCAACGACCCCTTCCGACCTCCGACAACGACCTCCACTTGCCGGGTGGTGGCAGCGGCCGTTGCCCTCCCCGTCGCCCGGTCCGGAAGCCAGGCTGTGGGACGAGAGGGCGGAGGACAAGGCCCAATCGAGCGGCTTTAGTGGCTTCCCCGTGTCGCCTCGCTGGATGAGTTGAGGTCGAGGAGGACGAGGGGGGTGGGGCTGGTGAGGGGCGGGGTGCGGCGGGGGTGGGTGGGTGGGCGGGTTGGAAAGTAGGGATTGGAATGGGGATGGGTTGGGGGGTAGGGGTTGGGAAGTAGGGGTTGGAGTAGGGGTTGGAGTAGGGGTTGGAGTGGGGGTGGAGTGGGGGATGTAGTGGGTTGGGGTGGAGGTGGGGTGGAGTGGGGGTGAGTGGGAAGGAAGGGGGAGGTTGGAGTGGGGGTGGGAGTGCGATAAAAGGGGGAAGGAGAAAAGGAAGTGTGGGGAAAGGGGGATAGGATGCTGGGACAAAGTGAGGGAGGAGGGGGATGGGTAGGAAGCTGCAAGACAGGGTAGGGGCGAGGGGTGGGTAGGATAAGGATATTAACAAAAAGGTGGATATTCAGGGGAGGGTTAGAACAGTAAGAAAATGGAGTAAAAGAATGCCATACATGCATATACAAAAACACCTAAAAATACGTACTCTATACACACAACAAATACGAAAATACGTATCCAGATCCCGCACGCGCACACGCACGCACACACACATACACATATATACACAAAACTACAGCCTCTTCTCCTAGCTGTCACACACACACAAACTTACATATGAACCAAATAGAATCTCTTCATTTGCCCGTGAAATGACGTTTATAAATCCATTTTGTGAAGCGAAAAAAAAAAATCCAGAACAGTAATTTCATATTCCAGCAGTATCACACATTACGACTTTGGTATGGGCAATGAAAATGTAACTATGAGAACAGAATCGGACAAGCAATAATTTATACCGGTCGCTTGGCCTCAAAAGCCAACACGGTCGACAGGAGAGTTCGAAATAGATTCGAACACAGCCAACCAAGTTCTATCTATGGTGCTCTATGGAAATTATGACTCACCTACAGACATACATATAATTATCTCTCGCATATCAATAAACTGCAGTCTTTCCTTATTGTGTTCTTGTCTATAGATATTGGCCTCATTACTCTAGTGATAAGTGAATCTGAAAAGATGACACATACTCTCTCTCTCTCTCTCTCTCCTTCCCTCTCTCTCTCTCTCTTTCCTTCCTTCCCCCTCTCTCTCTCCTTCCCTCTCTCTCCCTCTCTCTCCTTCCCTCCATCTCTCTCTCTCTCCCTCCCTCCCTCCCTCTCTCTCTCTCTCTCTCCTTCCCTCCCCCTCTATCTTTCTCCACCCCCCCCCCCCCTCTCTCTCTCTTTCTCCCCCTCTCTTTCTCCTTCCCTCCCTCTTTCTCTTTTTCCTTCGCCCCCCCCCCCTCTCTCTCTCCTTCCCTCCCCCCCTCCCTCTCTCTCGTTCACTTTCCCTCCCTCTTTCTCTCTCCTTCCCTCCTTTCTCTGTCCTTCCCTCCCTCTTTATCTCTCTCTTTCCCTCCCTCTCACCTTCCCATTTCCGCAACCCATACGAATGCGATGATGGAGTCCAAGACTTCGGATTAAGATGCTTGTAGTTTATTTACCAACCACAACAACGTGTGCACTGCAGTTAATCTATTACTTGTATTACAATTTTGAATAAATTCTTATATCATGGCATACAGGTAATTTTAGATTACTAACTCCTATCAACGCCAAAGTCATGGTTCTAGCTTCGCATTCGTATCATTTGCGTTGATGGTGATAACCCTGTTGTCTGTTCGCTATAAAAAGTCGGAAATTGTGGCCACTTTACAGTGAGCACGAACAGAAAGCGTACAGAAAGAAAGAGAGAGGGAGGGAAGGGAGGAAGGAGAGAAGGGTGGGAGGGAGGGAGGGGAGGGAGGGGAGGAGGGGAGGGAGGGGAGAGAGAGAGAGAGAGAGAGAGAGAGAGAGAGAGAGAGAGAGGAGAGAGAGAGAGAGGAGAGAGAAAGAGAAAGAGAGAGAGAGAGAGAATAGTACGCATATAACCAAAGCACTTCTTTCTCATAATTACGATATTTTAAGCTGTAAATAAAAAAAGAAGCACTCGCACACACGCGCACACGCACGCCCACACACACTCACACACACACGCACACTCACATATACACACACTCATACACACACACACACACACACACACACACTCAGCCAGCCACAAACACACACAAACGCACACACAAACCTATATATACACCTATGTACGTGCGTGTTGCCGATCTTACATATGTGTACATAACGCAACTGAGCTCATAATTAAAAAGATGGAAAGAAAGAGAGAAAAAGAAGGAGAAATATTTTGAGAGCTCCTTTGAAATCAATTTTCCTTTACATTCACAATAACTGTCCGTCAGATTCAGAAGTTTCCCACACTGACATCCCAGTAAATTACGATGTAGAGAGAAAGTAGAGAAAGGGAGGGGAAGGGAGAGAAAGGAAAGGGAAGGGAGAGAATGGGGGAGGGAGAGAAAAATAGGGGAAGGGAGAGAAAGGAAGGGGAAGAGGGAGAAAGGGGGAGGGAGAGGAAAATAGGGGAAGGGAGAGAAAGAGGGAGGGGGAGAAAGGAAGGGGAAGGGAGAGAAAGGAAGGGGAAGGGAGAAAAAGGAAGGGGAAGGGGAGAAAGGAAGGAGAAGAGAAAGAAAAGGGGAGGGAGAGAAAAATAGGGGAACGGAAAGAAAAGGAGGGAGAGAAAGGGAAGAGGAGGAGGAAGGATAGAAAAGGAGGAGGAGGGAGAGAAAGGGAGGAGGAGGAAGAGGAGGGAGAGAAAAGGAGGAGGAAGGAGAAAAAGGGAGGAGGAAGGAGAGGGAGAGAAAGGGACAGAAACGAGGGGGAAGGGATGGGATGTGAAAGTGAGAGAGAGGGAGAAGGTAGAGGAACGGAGGGGGAAAGGGAGGAGGAGAGAGAGAAAGAGAGAAAAAGAGGGAGAGGGAGAGAGAGTGAAAGAGGGAGAGAGTGTAAGGGCAAAACCCTAACCCTGTAATATGTATGTATCATTATCTATTGATACTAATGTTAAAAGCACCGACACAAGGATTTAGTGCATGGGGCTATAGGACATACATAAAGTATATATTGGTGTGTATGTGTGTGTGTGTGTGTGTGTGTATCTGTGTGTGTGTGTGTGTGTGTGTGTGTGTGTTGTGTGTGTGTGTGTGTGTGTGTGTGGTGTGTGTGTGTGTGTGTGTGTGTGTGTGTGTGTGTGTGTGTGTGGATGCGTGTGAATGCGTGTGGATGCGTGCGTGTGCGTGCGTGTGCGTGCGTGCGTGTGTATACGTGTGCGCGTGCGTGCGTGTGCGTTTGTGCGTATACGTGTGCACGTATGCGCGCGTTTCTGTTGAGTAGTTTTATTGGCTTTAACACCAGAATTCTTCGTATTTTCCGTATTCACATTGCAATTTGAAATCAATCGTTACTTTATAAATTCGTAAAATGTTATATGAAAGAAAATACACCTATTACGAACAAACTGATATCAAACAATAAAAGCCAGGTTATGCGAAATAATTAATTCCCTCTTTACTGTCACTAATTCACTGAATCCTCATTCATGCCGTTAGTGTATTGTCATGCATTGCCTAATAAAAGGTGTCAATTAAACTGAATCGAATGGGTAATAGGGCTTAACATGGCGAGCTGCAGAAGGATTAACTATTTTGGATCAGTAAATGTGCACGTTATCGATTTAAAATGGTCCCTCTTATCCGGATTAGGGTCTGTTTTTTTGCTGTCATGTCATTTGATTTTATTTGATTTTATTTGCAGATGCTTCATTAAAAAAAAAAAAAAAATGTATTCGAGGTATCTTCAAATTTGATTTTCGTAATTGAGTAAATTCCTCAAAATACGAGAAAACTGAGTAAATTCCTCAAAATACGAGAAAACTGAGTAAATTCCTCAAAAATACGAGAAAACTTTATTACTCAAAGCATGTTTGGCGCCACACACGAGTCTTGACGGACAACGAGCAAGCACCGTTTAGCTGTAACAACCATTGTTTAATCTTTGCAAAACACTGGTTAGTACAACTGAAAGATCCAAGCCCTCGGGAGTACAGAATGAAAACCGCAAAATGAAAGACTCAAAAAAGAAAAAGAAAGAAAGAAAAAAAAAAGCTTCCGGAATGCGCCGTGGCCAAACGACTTCCACTCTCACCTCCGTTCGGACGACAGGACGGAACTAGGGCTACGTACTCACAACCTTTACAGTGACATCCGCGTCCTGGAGTTTTACGTCATTTAGGATGGGCATCACGTCGTCAATGATGGCTGATCTCTCGAGCTTGTCCAGAATCCTCTCGATGCAGCCCAGGACCGTCAGGCACAGCGCCACGTCCGAAGGGTTCTTCTCGTAGATGGCTTTGGTTCGGGGGAGGACGGTCTTCTTGATGGAGTCGACGTCCAGGTGTTCGGACGCGTTGCTCGCCGCGACCACAGCCGCGAC